GTCCAGCACTTCAGAATACACTGTGCCCGAATTCTTTTTCAGGTCTTTATATAGTTCACCCGTTCGAAGAGCATTAGTAAATATGGTGATGGTTGTATCATCCGTCATCGTCCCCACTTTCAGGGTCTCATCCCTCCATCTCTTGAGGAATTGATTGAGGGTCTCCTTCGGGCCCTGCCTGATACTAGTTAGGTAACTCAAATGCCTCTTCGGAGAGGCACTGGAGGCAAACTGGGCCAGGAATAAAGTAGACAATTCGGCAAAACTGCCGATCCATCCGGGCTGTAGGGTCCCGAACCATTCCTGGGCAGCCCCCCTAAGCGTGCTGAAGAAGAGTCGACAAATGGCCGCCTCGGATGCTCCCAATAGCATAAGCCCCCCTTGATAACTCCTCAAGTGTCCGTGAGGATAGCCCGCCCCGTCATATATCTGACCGCTCGGTGGTTTGGCATCCCTGTGGATCTCCGCTTGCATGATTTCCCGGGTGAAAGGGGAAGCGATTCCGGCCTGAGCTGGAGTAGGTTGCAGAGGGACTCTGTTCATTTTTTCCCTCATTTCGTTCATCTGCCTCCTCATCTCGGCCATTTCTTCCCTTGGACCGTTAGGGGAGGCGGTGGTGGAGTTCCCAAGTTCACAAACTCCTGATTCGCTTCCAACAGAGTTGTTCTTTGATTCTGACGTCTCTGTCTGAATCTCGTATTGTTACGCTCTTCACACTAGAATTGGCGGCCAACGGGTGTATCTCCTCTGACCCGTGAACCGGTCGGGGTGCGGTCACTAGGAGTGTGATGCCCGCCCCTGGTCGCATGAGTTCTTCCGCGCTCTCCCCGGTGGGCTCATGAGTGATTTGATGCCGTGGTTGTTTCTGCATCAGTGGTCTCATCATTGAATGATGGGATTGTGTACCTAGTTTCCCCGGTGTAGCTGGATTGTCCCCCATCCTGCTCATCCGTCATTTGTTGCATGACATGAGCCAAATCTCGCATGGCATGGGGGTTTCTTCTTAATGCCTCGGGGATGAAGAAATCCACGTCAAAGTGCGGGTAGGATCCCGGCTGGATTGCCCTTGGGGGGTCCGGCTTTCCCCACGTCTTTCCGAGGTTCCTCCGGTGTGATGAGAAGTAATTCTTACCATTTTGTAAATGGATTGTTGTTTGGTGTGAAACTTTTTGTTCTAGTTTCCCACAGACGGCGCCAATGTTGAGGTTTAATCCCGTAGATCCGAAAGCCCAACACAAACTTTGGATATATCAGGAAATGGACGATAATTCAGTGTATAAAAGAAACATAAAAGATGATATCAACGAACACTCAAAGCCCACTTGTATTAAGTAATTTGACTATTACACTGTAAACTACCCGAACGGTATGTCGGAATAGTAACTAATACAAGAAATCAGAGAGATAATGTTATTCTAGGCTTGAGTCTCAAAATGCTAACCATTTACAATGAAAACTAATCCTTTTATTTATACTAATGGGGGGTATGAGGTACTTCATGTTGATTGGTTGCTTTGTCTAGCCACTTGGAACCCATGCTTTCACTAGCTGCCGACATACTTTAGCAATAAATGCTCCCTGACACTTGTTGGCCACCCGCTGCCCGAACGGGCAGTGGACCCTGCTGGAATCTTCGTTGATCTTGCTCAAGTACACTGGTTGATCCGAACCCCGTTCGGTACATTGACAATCTGGCCCATTAATGGCCCGTTAATGATCTGGCCCAAGTATGTGAACCGATTCGAACCTCGTTCGGTACATATTTTCCCAAGAGCTGGTTCACTTTCTGGATGATGGGCCCGTCTATCAGACTGGATATCTTGGGCCTTGGATCCGGGTATTGGGCCTACAGCCCAATATCCCAACAGATACATTTTCTCTTTTTAGTACTCTTATTTTTGTTTTCTTTTTGTATGAATTTAAGGCATTAGAAATTACAAAGTAAATCAAACCAAGCTTCTAGTCTAATACATATGCATCATCAAAATTTAAAAGGACCTAACATTCATCAATGTAATTGATCTATGTTCGTAATAAGATTTTTTTAGTAAATAAATTTACATATTAAGAAATTACATTAAAAGTTTTATAAAATCGCAAAAGAAAAATTCAAATTTAATAAAAATTGAATATATAAAGTAATGGTTAAGAAGGTTAGTGTGATTAGGAGGAAAGTGACAAAATTTAAAGAGAGTTCGGTAAAGTCGATCAGAAGAAATAAGATGTGGGTAGGGATGGACCCGGGTCGGGCCCGGGCGGGCTTTTTTTGCAAAATGTTGGGCCCGGAACCGGCCCGGGTTGATACCGGGTCTGGGCCTAACCGGGCCGGGCCCGAGTCAAGTTCAATTTTTTTTTTGTTTCTAATTAACACCCGACCCCCCCCCCCCTTCACCCCCACCCCCAACCCCCCCCCCCCCCCAAACACCCAACCCTAACCTAGAAAAGCAAACAAAATTGAAAAAACAAAAAAATTGAACTGGGGCCGGCCCGAACCGCCCGGGCCGGTTCACCAAAAGTTGGACCCGAGCCCGGCCCGCCCGGCCCGCCCGGCCCGCCCAAACGGACTAAAAGCCCGGAACCGGCCAACCGGTCCTGATCCGGTCCGGGCCCAAACAGTAATGGCCCGGGCCGGTTCCGGGTCTGCCCGGGTCGGTTCCGGGTCTGCCCGGGCCGGTTCCGGGTCGGCCCGAGCCGGTTTAGTCCATCCCTAGATGTGGGTGACTGAAAAATAAGAATTCATTCTGAATCTCGAGATAAAAAGGTTTTCTAATATTTTTTCTGACCACATAATTTTATCTCCCAAGAAGTTGGTTCATGATTGACTAGAACGATAGACAATGACAGCCGCAGCGCCACAAGCATACAATATGTACCCACTCCATATTGTCCTTCCGTGGTACCAAAAAAAATGAGTCTTTCCATAAATAATCGTCCACAAATATTCCATGAATTCAATACAAGGAAATCCTCAAATTTGGAATGCAGACTTTCAATTCAATGATTTGAATGGTTTTACATTTTCACCAACGAAATTCGTCATTGAATGAACAAAATGAAATTCCTTACCAAATAAATTTCACGTTTTTATTTATTAAGGGCATCCTCGTTGGGAGGATTATTACAAGATTAAATTGGTGACATGACAGTTTTTTTAGAGAATTATCAATGAGTGATATATATTATTTAATAGGATTCTTTGCTACAATAATCTGGGATTAAAATATGAATCCGGATTATTTTAAGATTATTTGAAAACTATATGTAATAGAGATAAATGCGGGACAAAGAAAAAACAGATTATTTGAAGATGATGATTGAGAGACATAAACGAATTTTGAGATTATTTTATAATTAAATACATAACAATATTTAAATGGTAAGAATCATATAAAAAATTGATTATTAGAGATCATGAATGGAGATGCTCTAGTTAATGCAAAATCATTCATAGTGTCGTACGTGCGACGATATTTTGAACCAAATTTTATATTAGATCAAACATTTTATTTTGAACCAAATTTCACATATACTCTCTCCGTCCCGAAATTAACTTCTCACTTTCTTTTTTTGGACAATTCCAAAATTAATTTCCCATTTTTTCTCATTTCCTTATTTGACAAATTATCTACGTCAAAACAGTGCAAAACAGTGTAAAACAGTGTCAAACAGTGTTAAAACAGTAAAATTTACCCTCCAATAAATTAATTTCCTTAATATGTGTGAAATCAAATTGAGAAGTTATTTATGGGACGGAGTGAGTATAAGATTCGTATTAAATAAAAAGAGATTTTAACGTGTGAAAAGTGTGAAATACACTTATCCATAATAGTAATAAAAAAAAACAAAAAAAAAACACTTATCCACCGCTACAATGCACTCCGGATCTTATAGATATATACTGAGTAGTACTCCGTATTAATTAGGTACTGCACTTCATCACACATATAAAAAAATCAATTATTTACAAAATGATCACGCACGTTTTTTTAAATGCATACAATTCAAGCGATTACACTTGCAAACCTTGGCAAATACAGGAAATTTTACCGAAGATTAAAATTAATTTTACATTACACGCATATGCATGTATTTGCATTTGTGTATTCACATAATGTTTACTGTTTAGCTCACATAACTCCTCTGCTGATAAAAATAATTAAAATATCCTAAATTTTGAAGTGTTGTGAGAATAACACCTCAAACTTGCATATGTAATATAAATACCCCAAACTTTATATAAAAATTAATTTTAGCACCATAATCAACTATTATCTCTTTCAAAAATGTAAAATTTATATTGTTAATTGCATAATTTAAAATATTTTAGAATTCAGAAGACACAATTAACATTTTAGGCTTGCATTAGGAAATGAATAATGTTACCCCTAATCTATCTTAATTTCAACACTTTTAATTTTCTATTTTAAATTATGCAATTAACCACATACATTTTTGAAAGAAATAATACATGACTATGGTGCAAAAATAACTTTTTATTTAAAGTTTAGGATATTTAAATTATGTATGCAAGTTTGTGGTGTTTACCTCACACCCCTTCAAAGTTTGGGGTATTTTTATTATTTTTCCCTCCTTTACTGCATAAATATAAATAATTGGTGTTTGGAATTAATTTTGTATCTGCTTCATTTTAAAAAAGATAAGTAGAATCAGAATTAGTTTTCATAAGTTTATCTCCCACAACTTCTAAAAATTGTTTTTAGGAGCATTTTTAGAGCCCTTGTAAGTATTTCTGCACTTTCATCCGAACTTTCCGATATCTTCGTCTGTTCCATAAATGAGCATAAACAATTTTAGTAGATGCAGTGTGAGACTGAAAATCAATCTTGGAGTAACTTTTAGCCATGCCACTATGCCAATAACAAGATAGAATAATTAACAAGATGGGTCCTTAGGAAATGGGCCAGTGACAAGATGGGTCCTTATGAAATGGGCCAGTGGCATCACACTATAAGTACAGACATGCATGCACAACCACTACCAGAGTTAAAGAAAAACAAAGAAACGAGAAGTGCTCGCTCACTAGCTAACTAAGCTAGCTCACAAAATATATATTAAAGCTTAAATTACATACATATATAGTTCGTATAATTAATATATAAGTGTGCTAGCTAGCTAGACAGTTAATTAATTTAATTAATTCGTTTAAGATGGAGGTTATGTCTGCCCACACCAATGGGGTCACCAAGAGCCACCAGAACGGCACCAAGATCAACCAGAACGGCTCGTCTTATCATCTCGAAAACGGCGGCGGCGGCGGCAAAGACTTCGGGAGTATTAAGCCAGGCTGGTTTTCCGAGTTCAGCCAAATGTGGCCTGGTAAAATTCATATCCTAACTAAAATCATTATCCAAATTTTATATGAAAAGTCGTTAATTTGGCCAAATTTTATGGGAGAAAAATGTTAATTTGGCTAAGTTGTACGGGGAGGAGGAGCATACTCCCCCACCAATGAAAATGTTAATAGCCTTTGTGTAACTGTGTTTTTTGAAAGACTTTGTTAATCGTTTTTAATTTTTTCATAATATATCAGATCAATAACGGCATCACCTCATGTTCCAATTTCGGGTTTAGATAGTACTCCGTAATAATTACTTAATAAAAAATGGAGTTTCATAACTCTTTTGTGTCATATATTTGATTGATTTAAATCATTATTTCGTCGTTTATTAATAAAATTACGTAAGCGCCACTTCTGGTAAAAATGTTACTTTTTCATCATCATATGAGTTAAACAATTACTCCGTATAATACCTCCAAAATTATATATATTTGGTGCACTGGTGCTATTATCTATGAGTGAAAACTATAATGAAACCAACGTTATTAATTAATTAACGTGAAATATAATACAAAAACTACACGTACTCATGAAGAATTTAATACATCGATGAATTGCTTTTAACAACTAAGATGTTGTGAAGGTGTCGATAATTTTCTCTCCAATGTCTATTTAATTTTCACACATTGATAGATAGGTGCCGACGTGTGTAAGGGAAAAATCAATTAAATACTGTCTATGTTCTTTTTTAGTTGCAACATTAAACATTTCATATTTGCCAACACACATCTTTGACCGTAATTATATCTTAATTCTATTAGTAAAAAAAATATTAAAAATCAGATTTTGAAAATTGGTAATGAGATAAATTGAATAATATTTTTTTTTAAAAAAAATCATAAAATAGTAGCGTAAAATGTAGTCAAAGTAGAGTAGGTAATATATGTGGTTGTTTACATGTTAACAATATTACATAGTCTGATATATTGTTTTTCTAGGCGAAGCATTCTCACTGAAAATAGAGAATTTACTATTCAAAGGAAAGTCAGATTACCAAGATGTAATGTTATTTGAGGTACGTAAAATTCATTCAAACTCAAATTTATAGCTACGTTACGTAATGATCAGTTGATTTAGTTTGATCCATCTGAGTCTGGTGTTGTTAAAAATTTGTATATAAGATTGACTGATGTGGGTGGGCTCGTGTTAAAAGTCGGGTTTGACGAAAATTATAACGGTTGAATTGACTTTTAATACAGATTACATGAGAACCGATTTGTCACTTTTGTCTTTTACGTTCCATGTTCCCATGACGTTTTTAGGGAGTGTTTGCAATTGCTTTTGCTTAAAAAAGTACTTTTTGAAGTGATTTTGGAAAAAGTGATTAATAGTAAAAGTTGATAGTATTTGAGAAAGAAGTGATTTTGAAAAGTAAAAGTTGATAATATTTGGTAAAATACGTATTTCTTGTGTAATTGAAAAAGTAAAAAACGTGTTTCACCCAAAAGCCAAGAAACACGTTTTTAAGTAGAAGCTATCATTTGAAAACAATAATTTTAGTTTTTTTAAACAATAATTTCTGCGTTATTTTTAATTTATCAAAATAACGCAGTCAGCTACATATGGGAGAGTGTTGACACTGGATGGAGCAATCCAACACACAGAGAATGGAGGATTTCCCTACACTGAAATGATTGTCCATCTCCCTCTTGGCTCCATTCCCAATCCTAAGAAGGTTAATTATATATGCTGTTAAATATATATTGTTTTTTTTTGTATTTATTATACGTAGTAGTTATATATATTTATCTATCTCGATGTGCTAGACTGCTCTAGCAGCCTCCATTATCTTTGAATATATAATAAATTGATATTTCTTTACGTCTTTATTATTTTTATTTTTCAGGTTTTGATTATTGGAGGAGGAATCGGCTTTACTTTGATGGAAGTGTCTCGTTATCCTACAATTGAGAAAATAGATATCGTTGAGATTGATAAAATGGTAGTCGATGTAAGTGAAAGTAACGTAATACTTTTAAAATTTCTGAATTTATTTTTATTAGAATATTTAATTAATTTGGTGTTTGCATGGCACTCTGCCCCATTTGTTGTTTTACTTATCATATCAAATATGGAGTATGATACTTTCTCTATCATACTTCCCCTATTTACACAAATTATTATGTATAAATATCATTAAATTTGTCTTCATGTGAGTTTTTCAAAATATTAAATTTTTATATTGTTTATTAAAATGTAATTAAGTATGATTACAATTAAAGTTGTGTGTTGCAAATGTGAAAGTCAAACTCTTTCAATTAAAGAAGAATGAATATAGTATAATTAAATGTATGAAAATAAAATGAAACTTAAGCCAGAATAACTTGATTAAAACTTTGATATAAAAGATAAAATGTGGCTTGTAAAAAGATAAAATGTGGCTTAACTATAATAATAAGTCATGATAGGTACTGATAGAGTGATAGTAACTACTCATTAAATTTTAGTTTTGGGAATAACCTCTGTTTTATGAAATATAATTATCAAAATTTAATATTAATATACTTTAATTTATTGATTTGTGTAAAAAAATAAAGGTGTCTAGGCAATTCTTCCCATACCTAGCTGCAGGATTTGAGGATCCCCGCGTGACGCTCCATATCGGAGATGGTACATACTTCGTATAATATTTACGATTATCTTATTTCCCATTCTTTTTTCTGCCCATATACAATTATTGGTAATAAATTATATACTCATCATTCATTTTAACCATTACTCCCTAATATTTTAATACTTTCATACATTTTAGGAGCTGCATTTGTGAAGGCTGCTCAGAAAGGATATTATGATGCAATTGTGGTAGACTCTTCTGATCCTATAGGTATTTATTAGATAATTAATTATTTGTCGATCCTTAATTAATGACGTTTTTTCTCGATTAACGTTGACTATCAAATAAGTTTGGAGTTGACTTTATGACGTACGTTGACCAGGACCGTCAAAGGACTTGTTTGAGAGGCCATTCTTTGAGGCAGTTGCCAAAGCACTTAGACCAGGAGGTGTTGTGTGCACCCAAGCTGAGAGCATATGGCTTCACATGCACCTTATTAAGCAAATAATGGCTAATTGCCGTCAAGTTTTCAAAGGATCAGTCAACTATGCTTGGACCACTGTCCCAACATATCCTAGGCAAGCCTTTTTAGTCCGATTTATTTCATTTCAGAGTAGATCAGATTTTAACAGATAAGACCAGACTACTGCAATAGTAAAAGAGACAAAGACCATACATCTATGAAATCGGACCAGAAAATATCAATTCAATTAAGTAAAAACATCATTAATCTCTTAAACTTTGAAATTCCGAGAAATACTCCTATTTAGACTACTGTGGTACTCCCTCCGTCCCAGAATTTACTTCCATAGTACAAATGGCACACAGATTAAGAAAGTGAGAATTGTGTGGTGGAGAGTTGTGCAGAGGAGAGAGAAATGTGTAAGAATGTGTAAGAATTACTGTGAACCACAAATTCTTTGCCAAAAAGGAAAAGATAAGTTCTTTTTGGGTCAGACGAAAAGGGAAAATTGGAAGTAAATTATAGGACGGAGCGAGCGTTATTTTTACTTTCATTTTGGAAATGTTGCAGTGGCGTGATTGGTTACATGTTGTGCTCCACTGAAGGACCAGACGTTGACTTCAAAAATCCAGTCAACCCCATCGACAAACTAACTAACCATGTCAAATCTAAAGGCTTTGGACCACTCAAGTTCTACAACTCGGAGGTGACACTTTTTCTTGCCACCAATTTAGATTTTGATGATGTTAACTACTCCGTATTTTTTACTCCCTCCGTCCCATTTTGTAAGATACTTTACGGTTTACGATGTTTGATCGACGATAAAGTAAATTGATCCCTGTAAACACTCAAATTAGTTTTAGAAAATAAAATTTACATATCCAGAAACTACATAAAAAGCGCTACAAAACCTGCAAAAAATAATTCAAATTTCATAAACTTTTGATATATAAAGTAAAAGATTAAGAGTGATTTATGTTAACCAAGTGAATAGTAAATGTATCTTACAATTTGGGTCTGAGGGAGTATTTAATAATTTAGAGGTGAGAATTGACCCAATTTAAACATTCTCATTTATCACTTTTAATTATCATTTAAATAATTCAATTACAATATTTTGGTTGGTTCGTGTTGACAAAAGTATAGTACATTATGAATACCATATAATCTACCTAACTTTGATTATTATATTGAACTAATAATTTTGAGGTGATTTCTCTAAATATGAGTAAAACATGTATTGTGATTATTCCTTCATAGAGTAATTTATATACAGAGTACTTTTTTAGTTTTATAGAAATACGGAGTAATTAAAAAATGTTTTTTTATTATTACTTTTTTATTATATAGAAAGTGCATTATTTTTCAAGAAAAGTTAAACATCTTCGACCAAAAAGTCAAACATATCCATGATCTATAACACTATAACAGATCAAGTAACTATTGCGAAAATTGCAAAAAGTTGGATAGAGAATTAGAGATGAGCAATTCAAAATGTTTAAGTTGTAGCAGTCATTTGAATATTTTTTTTTTTGGAATTTTTGAGTACTTTATCAAGTTCAAATTTTGATTATATTTCTCATTACACTGATATATTGTTGTTTTCTTTCCTATGAAGATTCATAGAGCAGCGTTCATTCTACCTTCGTTCGCAATAAAATTGCTCGAGTAGGAACAGGAATAAAGACATGAAGCTAAGGTTTTCGCAAGATCAAAGGAGACATTAATTAATATAATGCGAGGACCAACAAATATAAACTACATATATATAATATGTGTCGTACTAGCTGCATTGTTTTAATTTCTATTGTTATGCTCTCAAATAATTTTTGCAGAGATTTGATTCGCATATGTTCGTTTCATAATATCATCGAATTACATCCAAAATAAATTGTACGCCATGACTTTATATTTTTTTAATGATCAATAATAAGAAAATCTTGACATGGACGGCCTCTAAAGATTTTACAATTTTACATTCTAGTTATCACAATTTTATAGTGTCGTGACTAATGCTATAGACGTGTTTGACAATCAATAATTAGCGGATTATGTTAACGAATTGTTTATAGCGGATTTTGTTTGTGATCCGACTATCAAAATGAGTAAGAGCATTCTCAATGATATATTGTTAACATCCTATAAATTTTGACACATGATAATTAATAAATGGAATAGTCTTCCACCTCATATTTGAGTGAGGTAGGTGGACATTAAAATCCTAAAATCATGTGCAATGCTTGATGTCCACAACCCATAAAACTACCCATGTATAACCATAAAATGGTCAAATTAAATACTTAACTCCGTCCCAGAGAATTCTTCCCACTTTGATTTAGCACAGAGATTAAGAAAGTGGAATAAAGTGAAGTTGTGTGGTTGTAGTTGTGTAAGAAAAAGGTGAAATGAATGTGAAACACATAAATTGTACAAAAATGCTAAGTGTGAAGAATTTTTTGAGACGGTCCAAAAGGGAAAGTGAGAAGAATTTTATGGAACGGAGGGAGTAACTCATATTTAATTGAAATACTCCTAGAACCGAAAAGGCTTCCGTATGGGCATCAAAATGCTGAGTCATCCTGTAGATGCAACCTAAGTAGCACCGAGACGGAAACGGAAACGAAAACGGGGACGGAAACGGGGACAGGGAAACTCCAATCTCAAAATATCAAAATACGGGTACGGCAAGGAAACGTCGAAGTAAAAATTTAAATTTTAGTAATATAGGTCACATTTACGTCCAATAAATAAGAAATAAATAAATCAAACATGTGTCTTTGTTATAATTCCACAAAGGTGTATTATTAACACCATGAACTCCCTGACCCATTCCCACTCTCTCCTATATGCTTCATACTTAGAACAATAAATATAGGAAGCACTCAACTTCGGGAAAAGATTAAAAACAAAGCTGCCCAGAATTCACAGCCGTCCAGCACTTAGCAGAGTAGCAGATGCGCTCACCGCCTCACCCAAATACCTATCCGTCCAACTGAGTAGCACTGTAGAAGACCAGCAGATGTTCGATACTCTCTGCGTCGAGCTTCTGCGTACTTCTGAGTTTCTGGACTTCTTCTTCCTGTCAAGTCGTAGAACACTCAACACTCGAACGTTGTTGCCTGGAGGGGAATCGCAAAGAGGTATTGTTTCAGCAAGTTTGCTGAGACGGTGACTGGGAGTGCGAAAGTCGATCAAGGTATTTTTTTTAAAAATTAAGAAACGGGTACGTCCAATTAAAAAACGTTTCTGAAACGTTTCCCCAACCCGGCCCAAAAGCCCAATACCTCATAAACGTTTCCCAGCGCTTCCGGCCGTTTCCGCACGTTTCCTACCGTTTCCCGTTTCCGAAACGTTTCCGGGACGGAAACTGGAAGAGGAATGCCGTTTCCGTGCTTCCTAGGATGCAACTATTCTGAAACGACACTCATGTACACAATGTCTAGAATTTTTTTTGACAAGTCAACATCATAGGAGGATAAACACGGTGCATTGGACACAAAAAATTCACCGTAATGTTAAAGAGGGATGACATAGCATATATTTTTAATGTTGACAATGTGGGAGTGGTGATGCTCTAAGAGCATCCACAATGGTATACGGTTAACATGCTAAAAAAATTGACATGTGACAATTAATATATGGATCTGTCAACCACATCACGTTGGAGTCATTAAGTGAACATTGAGATCCCAGAATTCCTGTGCAATGCTCGATGTTTAACAGCCCATATTTCACCGACGTGTAAAATAACCCATTTTAATTATATTGCTCTTGAATCCCAAAAACATTCCAGATGCGCAGGCTTCTATGCAAAATACTCCGTAGTTATCAATTCACATCATTGCCGGCTTCTATGCAAAATACTCCGTAGTTATCAATTCACATCATTGATTATTGACAGATCAAAAGCCATACAACTATCTTCTTTGATCAATGACTTCTGGGTTTTAAAAAAATACGTAGAAGTAATGCTTACGTATATCAATTCATTTAATTTGATCTATCATCTATTATTCAAATCATTTGATCTATATCTATTACTTTTAATTTCTATGAAAATCTTTGATTAAAACTATTTAATTTGTTTATTTATTACTCCGTATTATTTTTATTGAGCCTCTTGATGACTTTTTGAAAATAATATATAGTTTTTGTAAACAGATTAGTTTTGATAAAAATGACAACACCTAGTTATGACTCGGATTCCAATAGCTCATCATCTAGCGATGATTCGGTACCGTTATCTACACAAATGCTGAATCAACTAAGGAGGGACGGTGACATTTTTGCGGAAATGAACATTGATGTAGTGAAGACATGTGCAGTTCAAGTCCCATTGATATTGTCTCCTATGCTAATATGTAGCAAAGGTCCTCATGGCGGTTCAATAAGTGGTAGACGATATATAAATCGTGATAGGAAAGAACGCCATGATCTAATTGTCAATGATTATTTCAATGGTGAGAACTCAAAGTATACACCTGAGAAATTTCGTCGACGATTTCGGATGGACATCGAATTATTTGAACGAATTTTGAGAGCAATTGAGGCCTATGATGATTATTTTACACAAAAGGTTGACGCGGTCGTAAAACCCGGGTTAAGTCCTTTACAAAAAATCATAGCTTCAATACGTATGTTAGCATATGGTTGTGCAGCAGATATTCTTGACGAGTATGTCCAAATTGGAGAGAGCACAGCAATTGAGAGCTTGAAACGATTCTGCGATGCTATAATTGGCATTTTTGAAAAGCAATATTTACGAAAACCGAACAAAGATGATGTTGCACAACTTTTGAAAGAGGGGGAAGACCGTGGATTTCCAGGTATGCTTGGTAGTTTAGATTGTATGCATTGGCATTGGAAAAATTGTCCAACGGTCTGGCACGGGACACATACTAACGGTTTCAAAAGAGTTCCAACTCTTGTTTTGGAAATTGTAGCTTCTAAAAATTTGTGGATTTGGCATGCATTTTTTGGAATGGCCGGTACAAATAATGATGTTAATGTTTTAGATAGATCTCCCTTATTTGATGACCTTATTAATGATAGAGCACCACTATGCAATTATGTAGTGAATGGTCATCATTACAATATGGGGTACTATTTATCAGATGGGATTTATCCGGAATATGCCACTTTAATCCAAACTATCTCAAATCCATCTTCTCTCAAGGAAAAATTATTTGCAAAGCATCAAGAGTCTGTAAGAAAAGATGTAGAACGAGCATTCGGAGTACTGCAAAGTCGGTGGCATATTATCAAAGGTCCAGCACGTATGTGGAACCAAAAGGATTTAGGAAAGATTATGAAAACATGTATCATTTTACATAACATGATTGTTGAAAGTGAGAATAGTCAAGGCATTGATCCTCAAAGTTGGCAATCCGAGGGAGAAGATACAAGTGACAATGTTGTTCCGGATCATGATTTTACCTTCCTTTTTTCAAGGATGAAGACTCGAATGAAGGAAATACAAAATAAAAGATTGCACCGAGAGTTAAAGACCGATCTCATAAATCATTTGTGGGAGTTACATGGTGGCCAACAAGTTGATTGATCTTTTATTAAAATGACTTCATATATCTTATTTGAACTACTCATACAGCTGGAAATTCATTTCTATTTCTTTGTTTTCTAATAATACGTTAGAGCATTTAATTTATTGCTCTTTTCATGTGTACTACATTTAATTTTGACTATTATGTTCTCTTTTATTGCATTGTTTTTCTTTTTGGTATCCCCTCTTTGTTTGAATAATCATTTTTGTTAACTACTGGTTGAATAACTGGAAGTGACAAAATTTGACTGTTTGATAAAGAATCAGTAACCACAGTTGACAACAACCGGATCCACCTGTGGTATGTTGTAGCTGACTGGAGTACTCAAGATCAAATTCATCCTCATCATAATTATTCCAGGATGAAGTTGGGAATGTGCTCTGTAAAATACTTGTCATCTTTACACACTCAATCAAGAATCTTGAAATCAGAACATACTTACAAATTACAAGTCCCCTCAAACTTAATTTCTAACCCAAAATATTTACTTTAAAATAATTAACCCGTTAAGAGCTACTTATACTCAAATAGATCACTTTTGGCTGCCAAACACATGATACAAGCTAAACAGTTGCAAAATACTAAACAGTTAGAATTTAAAAGTCTCTGGTGCAGTGGTGCTGTAAAAGTGGTAGGCTGGGATTTTCACAAGAATGAACTATATGCTCATTATAAAATTAGAGGTCAAGAATTAACACATATTGTAAAAAATGACAAATACAGACGCTAGCAAGTCATCGCAACTAGAGTAAGCAGAGATTTCGTAACAAACAACATGGCAGTGCCAAAAAGAAAACAATGCATGAGAAAATAATGTCCAACGAATGGCTAAACAATGCATGGAAAAAATAGGAAGAACCCTTAAAACTATCTGATTAAAATGCTACTATCAACAAATGGCTAGACAAGGAGTGCAATCTTGAACGTCAAGTGCTGGACATGGATAAAAAAGAAATCAGTATTAGTTTAGTCACAATTCATTCAAAGTCAATATAAAAATAGATAAAATATGTACTTAACATTTACCTAGTAGATTCAAAGAGACCATCTTTTTTCCATTCTTTTATAATATTTGCTTGCATTTCTTCATATGCCGCTCGAGCAGTTGGTGAGAGCTTACTTAGATCTTGATTCATAATATGTTCCCGCTCTTTCCTCCTTTGAGCATTCTTTTTCAATTCAATCTCTTCTTTTATGAGTTGTTGTTTCAATTGAAATTCTTTTTGATCATTCTCTTTTCTCATCTCCAAAGCTGTAATATTCACGTTAACTTGTTTCTCTAAAGTGCTTTGTAGCTTGTTCAACACATCCACCACACATTTTTCCTCATGTACCTTTCTTTTTCTTTCCTTACAAGCCTTTCTTCCTTGGGGACGAATGACCCCATCTGAATTAGTACCTCCAAATGCCATAGTTTCTTCATCAATACTCGTTGCATGATCCTCTCTTACAGGTGAGCTGGAGGTGTGAACAGTTTTTTTATTTGTTGATGTTGGCTTCACATGTTCGGAGTACCATTTTGGATTTTTACTCATTATTTCCCAACAGTGGAGATATTTGAATGGGCTTCCTTGAATGTCTTCATACGATCCCATTGCCTTTTTTATCTAAGAGAAAAACATTAAACAATTTTTAATAGCATATTTTGAGGTAATACTCAATACTAAGACCATTTCTCAAACATTGAACATGGTAAGTAGAAAATGTTCTATAAAACAGCATTATTAAAAATTTATCACTTACCAAATCATCCAAGTTTGTGCCACTCTGTGGATGCCTATCTAGTCGCTCATAATGTCCAACGAACTTATTCACCGCTGCTTGTATTTTCCCCCAATGCAATTGCAAGCTGTTGCTGTTTCTAAGAGGATTGCATCTAGCTCCCATATTTTCTTTAAAGACTTCTACTATTCTCACCCACATAGAAGTACTTTTCTGATTGTTTCCGATGTCTGAATCCATCGATACGTGTAACCACGCGTTCGTCAATGCTACATCTTCCTCTTTAGTCCATTGTTCGTCAATACGTGTCATCACTTTTCTTTCTTGATCTTTTTGTTGAACTCTCAAATTGAGCATTGGCCACTGGAGTATTTAATATCGGAGAATTCAAGAGACCTTGGAATGATATTTTAGATCCATATTGGTCCACACAATAAGGATACATCCCATTACTTTGGTTGAAGTTGTAAGCAGGTTGAACCGGTGGAGTTGGGTGAAGTGATTGATTTGGGAGTTGAGATGGTATCATGTAATTGTACTGATACTGAGAAGATGAGAAGGTCTCCGATTCTTGTGAATCCATATCTATTTACCTACCTACAAAATATAAGCCTCGTAGATAATAAATGAATGTTATGTTCACAATTAATTCTAGGTTTTGTTAAAGAAATTATTGTATTTCAGGATGCAAAGAATAGCAAGTATATGTAATAGGACCATTGTGTATAGCCATGAAAAACTCACAAAAAGGGATGCAAATAATAGACAGTATATGTCATAAGGCTAGGTTTTTTTGGCTATTGGATCTTGAAAGCCAATTTAGAACGTGTTTTCTCAATTCATTACAAAATCAACAGATTTTAGAAAGTGATAAGTTGTTTCTAAGAGAGCTTTTGGCCTTTTCACTTTTCCAATCGAAATCTGAGGCAAATTTCAACAAATCTACTTTAGTAAATGGACTTAAAGAATCACATTTGAAAATAAACCTTTTTATCAACCCACTTTTGTCAAACTAAATTTAATATTATGAATTCCAAACACATACTGTCGTGGTCTAAAATGAAAGCAAGCATATCTTTAATACACTGCCTTTTATTACTAGCTGTATATTCCTATTTTCGAACACATCATGAATTGGAGGTTTGATTTTTCTCACAGCTTCCCTCTTTTATTAACATCTATGATGTATCCCATCACACTCCATTTGACTGTCAAATCTAATAGAAATTATCTAAAATAGAGTCACAACATTTCTCCAATAATACAAGTCATCAATGTTGCTCACATTCCTCCGTCTATGCCACTCTCAGAGACATTTCTTCCATGAATAGCAAAGTTGGAGGATCACAGACCAGCAGCCATATCATGGCTTATAATGATGATGAAGTGCTAAGACCTTAAGAGTGGATTTTTAGTCAACCTCCATTACATTTGGCCTTATAACCTTATTATAAAGTCATAGGGGTAACAATAATTTTCGTAAAAAAACAAAGAAAAATAGAAACCAATAGAAGATCTCTTCCTAGCAGTTTATGCCCAAATACCGCAAATGTTATGAAGCTGCAATAGAAGCCACAATGTGTTGCGGTGGGCAAACCAAACATTCACAGAAAGAAAACTTGGTTCAATTAGAAAAGAAAAGCCACCTTGAACATGCCACCCGTCTTCGCATGTGTATTAAAGATATGCTTGCTTTCATTTTAGACCAAATATGCCCTAAATTATTTAACTAATAACTATGAATCCATTACATTTAAGTAAGAGAAATATAGCAGACTAATGTTTTATCTATAATGTAATAAATTAGAGGGCCCAACTAAAGCTCTATTCCCTGATTTATAAGGTATGGTGCTGCTATGAAAAAATTATTTTTAAGAACATCTCAGGACTATTGATATTTTCAGATTGGCTACTTCACATGTTAGGCTCACCTAGATGAATTAGTCATATGTAAGCAGAGGGAGTCCCATTGAGATTTCCTGAAGTGAAAGCTGCCTGGGAAGAGTATCCTGATTGCTCTGTAATAGTCATATTATCCTGAAGTGAATTAGTCATATGTAAGCCCGATTTCACATCTCAGATTGGCTACTCACCTTCATGAGTTAGTCAATTTTGGCATATTAGGCTCATAATATTTATACATTCATTTGGTTTAATGAGTTTCAATCAAGACAGCAAGTGTCTACTCATAAAAAATCCATAAAACCCCAAAAAATAGTAAAAGCACATCATATTTCTTAACAAAAAAGAAATCTGAAACAACTCCCCAATATATGACCATCATATCACCGCATCGTTGAAATAAGGCAAAAGAGGAGCATACAAAGAGAGCACGTAGCTTGAAGTCTATTTAATAGAAGAAGAGGTAAATTTAAAGTGAGAAATCTGTGGAATGGAAAAAAATCGTACTTACCACAAAATCAAATCCTTTGAAGAGAGCTATGCTCCCTTGAACATTCCTCCATCTACGAAGCTTCACTTTGGGGAGAAAAGAAATGAGATAGAAGTGGGAGTGTGGGGCACCGGGAAAGATAATTTGGGAGGTGGGAGAGAGAATTATTTTACGCGGGTAGTTTTTTTAATAGGCGGAATAATTTTTATCCGCCCAAAATGGCTGACTCAGCATGTAAACGGCAGTGTTAAGCCAAGACAGTGATGTAAACAGTGTCAGATTTTTTTTTTGACAAGTCAACATTACAGGAAGGTTTATAGGCTGCGTTGGAAGAGAGTTTTTTACACCAATGTTAAAAGCCGATGACGTAGCCATGAATTTTAATGTGAACAGCTTTGGACTGGAGATGCTCTAAGGGGACTACAAATAGATTTTTGATAATGTAGTTGTTAGACCGTTGCAGTTAATAGATAATGTCATATTTCAAAGTGCTAAATTCAAATCAAAACACAACTGTTTGCAAGATTTATATATATTTCAGCAATTACACCCAAAACGGTGACGAACAATTATTTACCAAATAATATGGATCAAAATTTCCACTTATTGAAAACGTTGATTCAAATTTAAAATCTTTGTTTTTCTATTGAAAAGCATTTTGCAAGTACACATTTACACACCCAATAATGCTCCTATTTAATGGAAAATAAAGTGTTCCTATTTCGAAAAAATTGGATTATTTTAGGAAAGCAGAGTGATTTTACTACACAAGATCTTCTCGGTATTTCCTTACAAAGAGGCTACAAAAAACATTTCTTTGTTGGTGAATTTATTGGGGCCTAGCTACCGTAAGCAGACTGATTCTTTTACACCATCATGTTGCTTCATGTTATCATGTATGCCTCCAATTCAAGTGATGGATCCTCCCAAAAGTACCACGCTAACACTAAACGTCTAAAACGTTGGATTTGTTTTAACAGTTATGACTGTCAGCTCATTTTTTTCTTTCAACGGCCAAACAATAAATTAGAGGCCAAGTTTTTACGGCCGAACAACACTGATAATTTGACTGTTGGCTCTTTTTTTTCTTTCAACGGCCAAACGAATTTTGTTTTAAATTCTTTGACAAAAAAGATGTCCATGCACCAAGTTCCAAACTATAAATTCGTGATTGTGATGAAGTTTCTGGATATCTATATAGAGGCTATGTCGAAAACTGCTCTATTGTTTATAATTGGAGTTATCAGTGTAACCCGCTTGATTTGTCCTTTTGCCGCATACAGTAAGAACCTCTCATCTGTTCCTGAGATGAATTGTTGGGGGGCACATAGGAACAAATATTGTTTATGACAAGTGTGCTTTATCAAGTCCTCCAACCCCACATTCCACTTGAATATGAAAAGAAATAGGATCTGAGCTTCTTTATATGTTGTCAATTGACCTGGCACCACAAAATGTGTTCATTCCCAAAAGCCTCCTCTCATCGAGTGATACTTCACTTCCACTAGAGATAACATAAGATATGTTATACATGACAAATTGACGACACAGTGTTTCTAATGTACAACGCTCAACAGATAAAATACAGACACCAAACATATATCGGAAAACCAACATCTAATGGAGAAATCTTCTTTTTAGAACATATCAAAGTTGAACAAACCCTTTGTTCATGGTCAGATAAAACCATGCTTTTGTCAGAAATGTTACATCCAGCTACGGAAAAAGAACTTCAGTCTTAATTCTAGATTTGTACCTGAGTTTCAAGGACACCTCTGGAATACTCAAATTTCACCGAGATAGATTTGTTTATCACTACTACAGGAACCAATAATAGGTTCATACGGATGAAAGACACATTCATTCACAGCCCCAGTGTGTCCAGGAAGTTTATACAAAATCCGCCGGGAAGTCGTATCCCATATGTAAACCATGCGGTCAGAGCTGCCAGCTGTTACCCTGCTCCCATCAGGAGACCAACCACATTTCAACAAGTTCTTTTCAAAATTGTGTTGGTGTCCTTCCAGGATCTTAACGCACCGATTTTGTGGGGCATATGGACGCATGTCCCAAATACGAAGACTGCAGTCCGTGGAATTGGTCAACAGATAAGACCCGTCTGGACTCAGTGACATACCAGTTATAGTGTCATGATGTCCTTGGAGGGTCATAGTGACCTCACTTCTACGGATATCCCACACCTTCACTTCGTTATCAATCCCACCTGTGTATATTTTGTCAGATGCATCAGAGAAGCTAACCGCGGTTATTTGATATTTGTCTGGAAACGTTTGAATTGCTCCTCTTTGGCGCATATCCCAAAGTTTGGCAGTCCCGTCATCCGATCCACTCACAATGAGTGGTGGGCCCCTTCGGGCAGGACAGCATGAGTTGATAAAAGATGAATGCTCAACCATTTTCTTTATCTGTTTTCCAGTTTCAACATCCCAAGCTCTAAGTGTCTTGTCAGGGCTGGCTGATATTATGACTGACCCATCGGTCATCCACTGGACATCCAGAACAGCATTTTTGTGCCCTTTTAAGACCATGAAGTTTTTGCAGTCGCCATATACATTCCATAGAAAGATTTCCTTGTCATGCGAACCAGATGCAATTATAGTTCCTGAAGGATTGAACTTCATTGAATATACAGCACTTTGATGTCCAGTCAGCAACATGATTGGAGATTCCAGGCTTGAGGTTCTCTGTTTTCCATTTGGTCCTGGGGCTTGGAATCCACCGAAAGGATTTGACAGTTCAGATGGCCTTGGACCAATGACGGACAAAGCACTTTCCATTTGCATTTTTATACTTGTAGTCAAGCTAGAAATGTGGTTTTATGATTTTGTCAGCAGAGCATGAAACAGAATATATAAAAGTATGAAACAGATGAATACAGCAGCAACAATACAACATCATCTAAGCCTCAATCCCAAAAGAATTTGAGTCGGCTAACATGAATCAACATAAGACATTAAAGCAGTTCATTAATTTTTGAGAAAAAGTCCATCAAGTTCAGTCCTACATTTCACATTATAAATATGAAACAGAAGAGTAAATCTCTAAATCTCTATATATATATACATGCTGGACCGCCTGGGGCAACTGTTCCCGCCGGACAATGATGACTTCAATATGACATCATCATGATGTCATCACGGGATGATGTGACACGTGCTCACAGTTAATCTGCAGCATTTGGGCTCTGCTCTACTAAGGCAACTTATTACAAGTCCTTAATTTAGAAAATTATTCATTGTTTAGCTGAAATAAAAGATAAAGAACGAAGCTCAACAACACCCTCTAAGCTTGATCTATTCACTGCTGATAATATATAAGAAGATATCTACGAATAAACAAAACAAGATGCGATAAAATGAGAAGACAGTTAGTAATAATCGAATAACCTCGAGATACTAGACGAACAGCGTGCGTGGTGTAGACGGCGTGCGTTGGGGAAGAGGAGCTGGAAACGGAGATGCCGGATCGGATGAATTGGTACACGACGATCGGTTATTAGGTTAATTCCGGATCTTGGGCAAGTGATTTTCTAATTGGACCGGATCAAACACTTAGGGCCTATAACTTTATACCATAGAGTCCGTTTGATAACCTTATACTTTGCTGAATCAACTGATTATATTGTTCCTGAAATATAATTTTATCAATTCAAGATCCGAAAGATAGATGAATTATCGATCCAGGACCTGAAAGATGAAATGTATCAGTATAGGACCCAAATGATGGAAAACTATCAATTTAGGACTTGAATGATTGGAAGTTATCAATTTAGGACCTAAGTTGTCCGAAATTTTATTGATTTTTTTATCTTAAAATTTTTAAATATTATTTAGTTTTATGAAACTAATAAACTTTTGTGAAGAAAATTTTATCAAAAATTAGCAATGGAATTAATAAAAAATTAAATAAATCAAAACCTATGAAATATTAGATCCTAGATTGATAGTTTTTCATCATTCGGGTCCTATACCGGATTGATAATTCATCTATCTTTCGGGTCCTGAATTGATAAATTCTTATTGAAATTTATGAAATTGTAACTGAAGTGATTGGATTGACTTATTCTATTGAATTTGAAATATTACATTTAAAATCTATTTTATTAATAAAATAAACAAAAAATATATAAAAACCTAGATAAAATGGTCTTTTAAGTAACTTCAGTCAATTCAACCACACAATTAACTGCTCTTTTAATTTTTTTATTATTACACAACTCAGCAAATGAAATCAAAATGTATGTATTTGATAAAAAAGTTGACTCATAAGCCAAAAAAATCACCAAACGCGCTAGTAATTTGGCAGATCTAAAATTTTATAGAATAAATATCTTACCTTATAGGACTGGTTCCTGATTGTATGAACAGAGGTGTTTATCAAATGAATACTCCAGCAATTCAATCTGAAACCCATACTATTTCTTTAAGGAACACAAAGTTATCATTTGGATAATTACTAGGTTAACTAACTCAAGTGAATGTAGTAAAAGTTGTTTTCGAAGCTTAACATGGATGAATGTGCTATCTTTATTTATAAAGAGAACTTAAATTTCAAAAAACTCAAATTCAGAGAATTGGAGGTTCTCCAAAACTGGATATTGGAAGGTAAACATATGTCCTACTTAAAACTAGACTCCACAAAATAAAAACAAACAAGATAGAACATATCATGGGGTTCTTCCAAATTAAATTTTAGAATCGCCTTATTCTTATTTTCTTATTTGACCTTAGTATAATGTTCATATATATCGAATTGTGCACACACTTTAAGCAGAGGCCATGTTAATCTACTCCATTTCTGATTATATCGGATGTCCAGAAGGGACATATAATGTTCATATTAACGAGTGAGATACTGAGATGTGTAGTCAAGGTGCCACATAGAAACGTCAAAAGAGAATGTCTTCATACAATTAATCTGTAGCTTATGGCCTAATCCAGTTATCCTCAAATCATAGTTTGTTTTCATTAAAAGATATCAGTTTACTCAATTTACACATGCCAGCAAAGAATTCCAATAGTTTCCCTACACATAATTAGTGTTCTTGAAACATCAGCAATTTTCTGATTCAGACACCTACCAAAAACAGAGTTTTATTTTGTGGTCATAGAGCATGACTCCATGATGTGCTTAGGTTAAAGCAGTGGTAAAGAAGAGAAAGGTTTGTAGGGAGGCAATAAAAGGTGTTGGAGAACCATCATGCTTATGGAAGATTCACACTATCATTCACAGAAGACATTTCTCGGGAGGATTGTTCTTGGGAGTCTTCACTATCAGATAGTTGAGACTCGTGCTTCGCAGCAGCTTGCATCACCCTGCTCTGGACTTCAGTTGAAGAAGGCGAAGTGGGCAGCCCACCACCGTTGTTTCCCAACTTGCCAATCACCCAATAAATTGCCTTGCCTCCAAGTCTAAACGGAGTCAGCAGCAGCCTGAACAAGATATAATATGGCAAAAGAACAGATGTCAGTATAACTGTATGTTCTAGAGTATCAATCTAATGCATAATTTTCACCCTGATTTCTATGTTTTCTGTAATACGATTCTGAAGATATGCTAGTATTTGTGTATAAAAGAGAAGATCTTGTAGATCCTATTTTTAAGCTGTACCTAACATCCTGCTCAATATCTTCTGAATCCTTATAAGACGAAAGTCGCAGATATACTGTCTGTTTAAGAGGCAACAAAATCAAACATTTAGGAAGAGCGGGAATTCAAAGAGTTGGATGCAATTTTGTTTATGTGCAACCGTGACCATGAAACTACTCTTATACATGGTAGAGTTAACTAGGGTCTGGTGAGGAGTCGGCGGGTTCTGTTTTCCTTTTTGGGTTCTCCAAATTAAAAAATCCCAATTCTTTTTAGGAAGAACAATTGTTAGTTAATATTCTTTCTTCCATTTTAAATCAATGTGAACCACACAACTCCATTTCGCTAATTCACTTGCCAAAACCATGTGGGAAGTTAATATTGGCACAGAGAAAAAAATAATTACCAGAAAGAGACCACAGAAACCAACCAGTTGCAGCGCTTTCTCCCACTCTGCAGCAAAACAATATCCATTTAGGTAAGTCACATAATTGTTTTTAAGGCATTTCTCCCATATGAAACATATAAAAAGCTAAACATAGTACCTCTGTCACTAAATAATCCACATACATTTCCAAAAAAAATCTCATTTCCTTCTAAGGAAAGCATTACGTTGTTCATACTTCATAATCTGTCTTTCATCTAATAAATAGCCACACAGTTTTTCATTTTCTTTATCTCCATGTCCGGTCAATTTAGGGGTTTATCTAGGATGGAGGAAGTATTATATTTTGGGGTTCCATCTTTAAAAAAACATTCCCTTTAATCGGAAGACAAGGTATAAAGCTTCACAATGTTTCCCTTTGTGCATGTCTGTATAGTGTTTATTACAGATTTTGATGTTATAGTTTTTTACCATGCCCACCATTTTTTCTTGATACAATCACCTCAATAACTATTACCATGGGGAAGTCATTGAATGCTCACCGAGAACTACATATACAGCTGCCATAGAACCCTTCAAAAGATAAGAGAGATATTTCAATGAGAAATGGAAGCAAATAGAAGTACACAACTATGATAAAACAGCCTTCTTACCACTCCATATCCAAGAAGTTTTAAGGGTGTTGGATTGATTTCCTCAAGGATTGCCTCAACTTCCTGTTCAACAAAGTCAAATAGATTAATTTTTGCAATAAAATAAAGTAAAAGTTACAACAACTAACTGACGATGTCAAGTTATGTAGAAACAAATCTGTCAAATAAATGATAAATAAAAGAAAAAAATACGGGAAGTGTGTAGAATATACTTCATTAAGTATGGTAAGCGCTGTCTCAGGCTTTAGCTTTTTAATGCGAAGACCATCTTTTATCCACGAGCGGAACCCACCTTGCATCAAGTATGGTCTCTGTCATTTAAAGCTAAGTCAAACTTCAAGCACTAAACTGTCTTGTGGAGATTTTCTTATGAACCCTATAAACAAAATCTCTAATTTAAAACTAAAGCATCAATCATACTCTCCCCTGGTTAACAAATGCGACCAAGCAATCAAGATTATGCATCCTCTATCCATGTTGAAATGGTGTTAGGCTTTGTTTTCCCTATTTGTGAAAAGGTTGCTATCAAGTAAAAGTACTTTTAGTAGGGTGCTTTGATCAATCACGTTGTCGAACAAAAGCAGTTGAGTGTTTGGCCTTTTAACCAAAAAGTTTCTCAGGCAATAAGGATAACAATGGCTATCTTTTAGAAAGGACATGTCAAAATGGAGCTTTCAAAAGCTCCAATTTGGAGCTGTTGAATTTTAGTTTTAAGAACTATTGAAAATGGGCCAAACATGTGGCCAAAAGCTAACCCAAACAGAGCCTTATTGTTAAGGGACAACGGAGTGGGGACACATCATGTGGGAGAAAGTTCAATGGCGCCAGCCCAATAGTCACAGAAAAATGACAGCTGTTGAACTATTCACTGCGTTTTTTGTCACCAACTTATATCAGGGATTGTCTAGGGTCCAAAAACATTATCTGTAGCTTGTCAAGACAAGAAGAAGTTGGGGGGGGGGGGGGGGGGGGGGGGGCTTTAAATTCCACTGTACCTTAAGTCCAAGTTTCCTCAATGACCGTGCAATCCCTTTGGAACGACCACCTTCATCATCCATAACTATAACATTGGACTCATCCTGTTAGCATTTATAAGAGCGGTGCCCAAAATAAGTATTGTGACTACATATTATAGTTTTACATACAATGTGAACACTAATAATCCTTTGTTTGGTTTTGAGGATTTTGGAGGGTAGGGGGTGAAAGTAAATGAGTTGTGTGTGTTTGATTGGAGGAGGGGAAGTTGAGGTTGTATAAAATCTTCTGAACTCTCCATATCTCACTCACCCAAATTTGGAGGGATCTAATAACTTTGCTTAATAATTTCACTTTTTCGAATTTGTTCTACAGTAGTACAGTTATACATGTGAGTATTTTTCAATTTACAATAGAAATTGTATGAAGGAAAATGCTTTTATACTTCTTAAAAAAAGGAATCCTGCACCACTCCATTAAAACAAACATTTAAACACTACTTTAACCCCTGCCATTATCCTCTCTTCTCCTCTTTTCTTGTCAATCAAACTTAGCCTGATGATTTTTTTGTGTGTGACATACATTATTAGGCGTTTCATTTAGCTATCATTACCCTTTTCAGGAGGGTGGGGTGGCAGCTGGGGTCAGGAATCATTGAAGGCCAGTGCAAATTAGAGGGAGTGTGTCATATTTTCCACACTAAAACAGCATTGCAGGTCATCATCATCGTCACTACCTCAGTGCCACAAAGGCTCCCACCTACGGTGGGGTAAGGGGGTCAGATGTACGCAGTCTTACCCCTGTAATAAAGCACAGAGAGACTATTTCCGAATGACCCATAGTGAAATTGCGTCGAAAATTGCATGTATTGACTGCTGCTTCATAACAAAGGCGCAGCGCAATCAGTTTAGTGAGCCATTTTGTTTTATTCCTTCATATTCCCAAGCCAAAAAATAGCGAGTCTTTGGCTCCATAGCAAACGATGAAAAATAAAACAACATTGCAGGTAATTATAATAAATACATTACTTGAACAATCTTCAAGTCACGAATGAGAGCAGCAAGCAGGGTGTTTTCAAGTTCGCTTCCACTCTTACATAACTTCTTTATAGAGCCACCTACCTGGAGAATTGTTTTTCAACAAAAACTGGATATAATACAACAAAAAGGATAGACAAGTGACAATCCCATGGGCATTTGAGTGTTAACCTACTTCAGGTAGTGTGATGTTGGTATATCGAAACCGAGCAGTTCGTCTAAGGTCAGGAATTCCATCTCTTTCTCTCACATCCTTCAAAAAAAGATTACGAATATAAAAAGAAAGCATAGAAATTAAAGGAAAGTAGACCCTTTATGTGCCTCAAAATATCAACGATCAATTTGGAACCGGGCAAATACAATAGAAAGAATATACATTGGAAAATATGGTGAGAAATTAGAATGAAAGAAATTTTAGGTGAAAATAAAATATATACTCAAACTTTATAAAGTTTTTTAGATATATGGTCAAAATCATTTCTTAATTTACTTCTATTGAATAAACGCTAAACATATAAATATGTCTATAAATAAAAATTGAAAAGTAATGATGTTTCATACTCTATAGGCATTTTCCAAGAAAAACTCAAACACAAGAAGCATTTTTTCCCTTTCCCTAGCATACAAGGAATCCAAACAGACCGCAAAGGTTATGGTTATTTGTCATCTACACAGGACCTTGTTTTGCCATAGAATGGGCATTACAAGTTGACACAAAACAAATGTTACTGGAATCTTGCAAATTGGAATACGAGAAAGAAAGGGCTTGAAATTTTTACAGTCTCTTGCCTCAGGCCGGATATCAATGAGTACAGCATTATCTTTTCCTACTAAAAGCTGTAATGTTGCCATTGGCGATAAATCCCCAGCATATCCACCATATGTCAATGCTAAATAAGTTCTCCTGCATGGATTTTCATTAGAAATCAAATTAGAAAACAAGAAGATGCTCCAGCAAAAACACTACTATAGACCAGAGAGCATACCATAAAGCGGCTGATGATCCAAGGAAAAGCAACATGTAAACAGCTAGATCGCCAGGGTCCGATCCAAGAATTTTTTCCAGAGCCTCCAAAGAAACATAAGCCTGCCTTCGTACTATCAGCTTTTCCGTAATGATAGAACACTTGGAGTCCCTTTGGAACCCAGAAAATGCTAGGAAAAATACTTGGAGAATAAAGAGGAAACTTGGAAGGAACTAAAATTTGGGGGAATAGAAGTTATTTGTTCAAAACTCATTAATAATTTGTTTATTTATATTAATAATATACTCCCTCCGTCCCTAAAAACTTGGCCAAGTTTGACCAACACGGGAATTAATAAAGTAAAAATTGTGTGGTTGAGATTTGTGCAGAGGAGAGAGAATTAACGGGAACCACAAATTCTTATTAAAAAGGAAAGTGCCAAAGTTAGTGAGACAACCCAAAAAGAAAAGTTGGCAAAGTTTTAAGTAAAGTAAAAACTATGAAGTCTAATAGCAAAAAAAATAAAAAATAGTCAATTTCATTTTCCTCTGCAAAGTAAAGTAAAACTTAAGAAAACAACTCTCAAACCCTCTTACCCTTTGCCTAGCTTTTTACATGATCCAAAATATCCTTAGAGCCTGTTCAATGCCCGTGATAGAGCAATAGAATAGGGAGGAAAATATGTTGAAGGTTTGGATGTAAGGAAAATTTGATGGAAACTAAAAAAGGTTCAAAATCAAATAATCAATTTTAGATACTTGTACAAAGTCATTTTATTTATATACTTGTACTATATTAAGACTATAAAATCTAATTACATGTAAATTTAAAAAAAATAATCAAATTCGATTTTTCTCTGTTATAATTATGGCGAAACCAAACATAAAAAAGACAAAAACCCCATTGACCTACCACTTTCAAGGTTCCATACATAGTCTTGACTCCAGGGGGAAGGGGGTGCTCATGAAAGTACGCAAGTTTAAATTATACAAACCGGATGACATCATATAACAGGTAAAATATTACTACGTACTAATTATATATACCTGATGAAATGTTTTTTCTGAAAAATTAAGTACATTCTGTATCTCTGAGGGAAGCAATTCCTTCACTGACCCATAAGCATATACAACTAATGTGGCCCCTTTAGATAAAGCATCCTCCAAAACAAGAACTGTACCCCTAAATGTTTCAATAGAAACAATTGAGAAATTATCTGAGGCGTCCTTTAAAACATTAGAGAATCCAGACACTCTTTCAAAACTGCCTTTGACAGCAGAAGTCACAGAGGGTACAATTGTATCTAATGAACTGTTCAGCAATGTATGCCCTTTCTCAACAAATTTCAGAAGTCTTGTACCATTAGACTGATGATCATTGACAGTTACTAGATCAAAGTTGATATTATTTAATGAACTCTGGTCGTATAAAGTGTTAATAGTGTTTGTGGTACCCAATCTACCACATTTTTCAATAATACTCGAGCACCGAAATCCAGTGGGATTTCCTTTCTTATAGGATGGACTCTGAAGTTGAAATCCATATGACCAATCCATTGAAGTGCATTTTAGATCACAAGTCTTCCAATATGAAAAGGATCTAAGCCCTCCACTGATAGGAATCTGCAGAATTGAAGTCTGTAAGACATACATGGACTCATTTTCATTTCATTTTCATTTACCCCAGTGCCACAAAGGCTCCCACCTACGGTGGGGTAAGGGGGGGTCGGATGTACGCAGCCTTACCCCTGTACTAAAGCACAGAGAGACTGTTTCCGGATGACCCATAGTGAAAATCCCGTCCAAAATTGCATAATGTACTCATTTTTTATGGCACTGTGGGATAAGACATACATGGACTAAGGAAAAAATATGTATGAATAAGTTTTCAGCTTAAAATGTACTCATTTTTTCATAAAATGGAAACATAATAATTCATAAGCCTGAAAAATTTCAATTTCTAATATTTTTTACTAAGGGATAAGACTGTCAAGAGCGTAGGTGTTTTAGGTAACTTAGGTTCTTCGAAGTCCAATTCTAGGCTCGCCTTATTAGTTAACTATAGGAATTTTATCAATCTGGGACTTGGATAGAGGAATTATCAATCCAGGACCTGAAAGATGAAATGTATCAATATAGGACTCGAAAATGAAAAACTATCAATCTAGGACCTAACATTTCATAGCTTTTTATTTATTTAATTTTTTATTAATTCCATTGCTAATATTTGGTGAAATTTTCTTCACAAAATTTTATTAGTTTAATAAAACTAAATATTATTTAAATTTTTTTAAAATAAAAATAATAATAAAATTTATGAAAACTTAGGTCCTAAATTGATAGTTTTCAATCATTCGGGTTCTAGATTGATATTTTTCCATCATTCGGGCCCTATACCGAGACATTTCATCTTTCAGGTCCCGAATTGATAGTTCGTCTATCTATCAGGTCCCGGATTGATAAAATTCCTTAACTATTTTATGAATATATCATAGGATTGTCCAATTTTGGAGAGCCTTCAAATCAGGGTTTTTGGAGGTTAAACTCCTATTATAAATAATTTAACATGTTCAGCTAGCTTGACTTATAGAATGAATCCTTTGCATTGAGTTCACCCAGGTCTTACCAAAACTAGACTCAAGGTCAATTATCTAAGTCCAAACGGAGCATGAATGTACTGAACAAATTATAATAATATCAGGCAGGCTGTGTGTAAAGAAAATAGAGAAAATATCAAAAACTTGACCTTGGAACTGGAAAGTACAGAAAAGGCTATATTGATAAAGTGATAAAAAACTAACAAAGATTTGAAATCTTTTGAATCACCTGGGAATGGGAGGAGCAACAAGCGGTTAATGGACACACAGGAAACATTTCAAAGCAATTGCTCAAATGATCAGACCAAATGCTACTGCTCTGCAGTGAAACCCATCAACTCCAATGCAATTCTTGAAGTGGGTATTTTTTCCAGCCCATTTATTGCACGGGGTATTAGTATCATTTTAATTTAATAATTTTTCATGTATTTTTGAAGAAAATGAGCTCAAAGTAGAATGGGACATGAGAGGTTTGAGACCTCAGAGGTGTGGGAGCGACAGCATGATGTGGCCTCAATCTGCCCCGCCCATGGATTAACAGATTATCATCCGCCTCAGAAGATGCAAGGGCCGGTTTACTTAATTTAGGATGTTTTTTCTTCCGGGCGAGGCCAGATTTAAACAGATCAGAACAGATCAGATTTAAACAGATCAGATTTAAACAGATCAGATTTAAACAGATCAGAACAGACCGGATTTAAACAGATCAGAACAGACCAGATCAAACATAAATAAATCACACCAGATCAAACTTAAATAAATCAGACCAGACCAACCCATACTTGGACAGTTATAAAATACACAGAGACTAAACATTTACCAGATAAGATCAGACATAAACAGACCATACCAGACCAAAATAATAAGAGCCTGTTTGGTAGCACGAAAATTGGTTGATTTGGCTGATTCTGCTGAAATTTATGAAGTTCTGGCTAAAGTGGCTGCATTGGCTGATTTTGCTGATTTAAGAAAAATAAAATAAAATATAGTTCATTAATAAAATAAATAAATAATTATATGTAAAAAATAGCTAAAATGGTCATTTACAGTAACTTCAGCCAATACAGCCATAAAAGTAACTCCAACCTTACTTTTCCTGATTATTACACAATTCAGCGCGCGAAAGCAAAAGTTACGTGTTTGGTGAAAAAGTTGGCTGATAAGCCTGATCCGAAAAACAGTGTTGCCAAACGGCCTCCAAATCTCATTCCAAAAGAAAGCATCCTGAAATGGTGAATGTATGGATGGCAATCTAACCGATTGGATGGATACTCGCAGTGAACTGAATCGATTAGAATGAGAAAAGATATTGGGTAACAGGTAAGCGGCGCGGAATACTCGATTTATGTAAACGAGTAATGGAACATGTGCGATTTTATACTTAGTAGTCCCATGACTGCCCCGTTTAGTTCAGGTACGATTACTCAAACCATACTATATCTTATATATTTAATATAAATAATGGATATACTTTGTGTATGCCATGTAATTTACGTATTATAATTTTGAGTTATACTTTGTTTCACTCCCTATTTACGCAATTCACACACACACATAGGGAGCGGATCAGGTGAGAAGTGTTCTTAGGCTAAGAATTGCGAAGTAATTTAAAAAGTTGTAAAAGTTAAACATTTGGATTTATAAGTTATGTTTAATGTATTAATAGTTTATCAGGACATATATGTCTTGGTAAATAAATAAATATCATTTTGATAAATATTTTTTTTGTAAATATTTTTCAAGTACTACTGGTGTTTTTCATTGTAATCTCATACTTCCTCAATTTATCACTATAAAATTATACTTTTGATTTAGAGTTGTTGGATTTATAAGTTATGATTTCTATTATATAAGTTACATTATTGTCTCTATTAATTAAACTTCACAATTCTCAGGCTAAGACACACTTCTTCACGTGATCTTTTCCATATATGTATGTATGTATGTATGTATGTATGTATGTATGTATGTATGTATGTATGTATGCATGCATGTATGTATGTATGTATGTATGTATGTATGTATGTATGTATGTATGTATGTATGCATGTATGTATGCATGTATGTATGCATGTATGTATGCATGTATGTATGTATGTATGTATGTATGTATGTATGTATGTATGTATGTATGTATGTATGTATGTATGTATGTATGTATGATTAGGTTCAAGTGAGAAAATGATCTCATGAGAGAAATAAAAATGAATCTCAACCGTTAGATTGTATTCTGTGAATTTGAATGTGCATTAAGTGAAACTAAAATGTGCATTATGTGAATTTCAAATGTGCCGCACAAAGGGTAAGGCACACTGGTAGTATAATAACTGACTATGTTAACAAATAACAATGTCATTCTTTACTTAAAATAACTGAACAGGTGTTGTTGATTTTCTTTTGACTGAAAATTAAGAAAAACGAGATTTAGCAGGTTTCTTAACCTTGTGTCTCTTCTTTTTTCTTGTGGCATTTTTAGTTGCACAGGTCATAATTGGTCTGTTATACAAGTCTTTGTGGTTTAATGTCATGTTTTTCTAGGCTTGAGGTACGAGCTTTTCTATTTTTTCTATTATTATTATTATTATTATTATTATTATTATCTGAATTTGGTTGTATTATTCTATTTGATAGAAAATTAGGAAATTATGGATTAAACAAGTTTTATTTTGGACTAAAGTGCAGGAGAAGTGAAACTTAAGTTATTTGAATAGTGTGCTTGTAGATACATAAAATTGTAATTATTATATACGAATTATTCAAGTCAAATATCTTTAGATTTAAATTAGGTCTTTGTAATTTTTATAGGTTTATATGCCTTCAAAAGCAAATTCAGAGGGATGACACCACATTTGAATTGTTGTGCTTCAGGAATGGTGGGGTGTGGACTTTGAGATTAAAAAAAACTATGCTGAGAAGATCTTTGAATTTCACTCTCAGAACATCTGATGGAAGAACATCTGTTGCTTTATGTACTTCGAAAGGGCAAATGTGCCTATTGTTTTTCTGTTTTGATTAATAGAAGAATATTGTGGCATTGTGGGAATGAAAAGGTGTTTTTTTTTAATTTAAAAATAGCACTTTCTATAACGGTTGCATTGGCAACTGATATCAAAGGTATTCCGCATGGGTTACAACACCTGACACGGAAAGTAGATGTAACTTTTTAGCAAATATTTTCAATAACCGTTACATTCGTAACCGTTATAAAAAACATTTTATAAGGGGTACGACTACCCGACACGAAAAGTGCCTGACTTTCTATATCGCTGGCTACTATGTCGTTACGGGAACCGACATAAAAAGTGCATTTTAACCCATATAGAAAGTGTTTTCTACACTAGTGTATGTGAAACTAAATTGTGCATTAGGAGAAGCCGGGAAACTGAAAAGTGCAATAGGTGAAACTGAAATTTCTTTTTGAGGTGGGGCCTAGGCCCTCCCTGGCCCTATGCCAGATCCGCCCCTGTCCAGATTCATTCTCATTTCTCTCCTGAGATTCTTTTCTCACCAGAATCACTCCCTATAGTGTGTGTGTGTGTAGATTTATGATCAAATGAGAACAATGCTTAACGTGAGAACGTGAGAACTCCACTTTTAAGCAAACGTGATGCACTGTATCATTTATATCTTGCACATTTTCGTGTTGACAAAATATTTACGAATCATCCACTTCATTTATTTGATATATTTTGACTAGAGTTTAAAAAGTGTAATAGATGAGCCTCACAGTGCATCGGATTGTGTTAAAGTGCATGGTTCTCACGTTCTCGCGTTAAGAATGGTTCTTATCGGAACCGCTCAATATGTGTGTGTGTGTGTGTGTGTGTGTATATATATATATATATATATATATATATATATATATATATAGACACACACACACACATGAGGGTGTTTTAGTCATTTGACCTAAATCTGATAATGGAAACAATCACGTTCAATTCTGAAACCGCCTACTCTCGTTAAATCCCTTCCATCTCTGCGATTCTCATTATCTTCCATCTCGGCAATTAATAGCTATTCGTCCCGTTCATCTCTCTGCTTCTCTTTGACTGCCACTAATATCAAAGCCTCTGGTTAATCTCTTTCGATCACAGTCGTCGAACGTCATGGAATAAAGTATCTGTGTATGAACTCCGGTTTTAAACTAAAAATTATGGTTATCGTTTTGCAGTTAATTCATAAATCACTATGCGTAAGATTTTATTAATTTGATTGAAGTGTATATTACGTGTATAGTGTCATCTTCCTTATCTCTTTTTCATTTAATTACTTCATTTTAATTTGTTAAACTTTGTTTTACATCTCTGGCATTTGTTAATTTTTTTTTGCTAATGTCATCTTCTAAACAGTTTCAGGGCCACAAAGAAGGGGTGATCTTGCTTATAGGGATTTTGATCACAAATTTGTTCTGAAGGGAGGGGTACGGTGCTTGAGGAGGTACAAGGTTAATTAGCAGGTTATGCAGTCAATTCCTTGAGCACTGGGGTAATTTTTTATGATATAGATCCAGGCATCAAGTTCTACAAAGAGTTTGCAATTGTGGTGTTGTTGTCCTACACCGGATATCTCTGAAACAATTAAACATTACATTAAAATCTGGGCTACTCCTTCTATCAGGTTTACCTTTTAGGATGGAACCTCAGATCTTAACATGGTACCTTTGTTTGCTTCCATTTTTGACATACGTCACAGAGGTGGTCCTTCTTGTAGTTGATTTCTGGAAGTCCTTTCACCAATCCTTTTCTAGACGGTTTGTTGATGGTTTTGAAATTGAGATGGCTGAGTTTGTTGTGCCATTCCCAGCTTAAGTTTGAATCTGTTTTTGTCACCAAACATATTCCTTCCTTTGTAGTGCTCCAATCAACAATATACATGTCCCTTTTTCTTCTACCAGTGAGCACAATTTTGCCATTTTTGACATCTCTAATCGAGTAGATGTCTTTGGAGAATGTAACATTGTAGCCATTGTCACAAAGCTGACTTGTGCTTATTAGATTAAACCTTAAACCCTTAACATAGGATATGTTTTGGATTGTAAGTCCACCTTTTATCAAATCTCCAGCTACTTTGGTTTCTCCTTTCTTTTCCTCATTCCCAAATGGCGTGGGTCTTCTTATGAAAAATAACGACACGGTTATAAAAAACAATGACGAATAGATGAAAAATGAATGACTGCACGACCCAAACGAAGTGTCTGATCGTGAGGAGGGGTGTTGTTGTCCTACACGTACCGGATATCTCTGAAACAATTAAACAGTATATTAAGATTTGTGATACTCATCCTATCAGGTTGCCTCATAATGATAGCAGGAATTACCTCGTAAATAAATAGGATTTGATAATATGAATAAGTTTATTTTGTTATGTTGTTTTGTTATTTTTTTCATGTATTGGTATGTAAAATATAATGTAAACAAAATTGAGAAATGAGTCTATTTTAACCTTTTATTCATTGTATTTTATGTTTTGTACTATGTGTACACATGTGATTCGCTAACTGTCATCCATTTTTGTATTATAGTTTG